TCAGAGAGTCGCTGGAGTTTGCTATAAGCTGGGGTCAACTTGTAGGGTCATGAATGATGCTGAAATGCATGGGACTGAATGCACTATACAACTTTCTTTTCATTTTTTATTTTATTTTATTTGAATTTGGCTTGTCAGTACCACTGTTTACAACTTCAAATTTAGATGAAAACAATATCTAAACAATAGCATTTTATATTTCTTCTTTCTCTTTTGGTATATTGTTTTATATTTTAGTTGTTTCATTTATTTAAAGTGCCCATATTATGAATTTTGCAGTGTGTAACACAGCTCGAAGTGAATGAAAACATCCTGCAAAGTTTTAAATCTGAAAGTGCACCATGTATAAAGTTATTGTCTCTCAAAAGAAAGAGTCGACTCTGAATCATTGAAATGAGTCGTTTTTAAAACGAATCCCAAGCCGTTTCATGTTGATGTCAACATGAAACATTAGCATATTGCCCGCCCACTTGTTGGTCTTTTCCCGTTGGTTTGAATGAAAATGCTAATTCATTCTTTGCCACTAGGTGCTGCTTTTGGAGCGGTAAAATAGCGGTTTCCCCGGTAGCTGTACACAAAGCAGCACTGCGCTCACAAACGCTGCTTTATCAGGCATTACAGGCATGATGAATGGAAAATGAGACCAGTCGGACCAATCACCGCAGATTAGCGTCACACAAAGGAGGGGTTTGGAAAAATGAATCATTGAGCGAATCCTTTAGGAGTCGTTGAGCAAGTAAGGTAAAAATAAATGCATATTATAAGACAATTAAAGTGTTTTTTGACCTTGCATGCATGTCAACCTGTTGTTGGGGACTCCCAAAACCAAAATATGAACCTTTCATTATCCATAATAGGGGCACTTTAAACAAAAAAAAGAAAGAAAATGCTCACTGGACTGATAACCTTGTTACAGTATATCATATTATTACCATTTTAAAGAAACAAACCATTCCATCAAATAAATAAATAAAATCATGATGAACTAATGTCTCAAGAACTCGACAAGTTATATCTTTATATCTTCTTTTATGTTTGTCTGTACTACAAATTTAAAATCTTACAAAAATGCATTTACACATACATTTTTGACCAAATTTAAAATCCAATTACACAGAATCATGTAAAATTCTGTTAGAAGAAAAAAATACTGAAAAATACTGTGTGTGTGTGCGTAAGTGTGTGTTTGAGTGTGTCTGTTTTGCACTCTTGATGTTTTAGAGTGTAACCCCTTCCTTGCTGTCCACTTTTTTACTGCATTGTAGTTGAATTATTGCTTTTATTTTACATATGAAGAGTTCAGACACAAAAGCCTCTAAGTGCCATCTGAAATTTTCTTCTAAAATTAGGATTTTTTATCAGGCTCCTATGTTTAGGTTCAGTAATTTTACTTTACTGGCAATGTATAGGTCCTTTTCTATGCCATTAAAGTGAAATAAATTAACATAAATATTGGAGTCCGATAAAAATGCTCATTTTAGATGAAAATTTCAGATGGCACTTAGAGGCTTTTGCATCTGAACTCTTCATATTTGCTGTGTTACAGTCACACCAGTTCATAGGTGTGTGTGTGCATAAGTGTGTGTGTGTGTGTGTGGTTTTGCATTCTTGATGTGTTATAGTTTCACCGTCATTGCTGTGTACTTTTTTCTGCATTGTGTCAGATTTGTAGATTGTACACACAAAAATTCTCAGAATTTTTGTGTTTTTGTCTATTTCCCATTCATTTCCTATGGTCGGTCATTTTTGACCGAAGACCACAAGTGTGACTATTTTTTTTACGACCACTTAGTCTGCTCAAATCATGCCCTCAATTTTTTTGTAAAAATTCAAAACAGAAAATTCTTCGGTCAAAAGTGACTGAAGAGCACCACAAAAATGTAGTCATTAATGTAGGGCAATGTAACAGTTGCACTTAACAACATAAAATTATGTTTAGAATGTACAGCTTTTATTGAATGAATAATGAATTAACGGTTTCAAATGTAATTTAGGCAATTTTTCACATGCATTTCTGCATCCAAAAACTGCTTCTAAATAAATAATAGCTACTGTCAAGAACAGACGTAACCTATAAACAAGTGATGTTAGTGTAAAAAAAAGATTTTAGCAATCAAAAGATAATAAACATTGATTAATTGCAATTTGCATAAAATGTATGTTACATTATTGCACATGCAGGGATGTGTAAAGTGCCCCCATTCTCAGAACAAACAGATGATACAGACAAAAGAACACAATTCATTTGGTGTATGACTTCAGAATTACCTGCATTTCCCTTTCAAATCCATCAATAACATTTTTGGTGATCTCAAGGAGTGTAATGAGATCTGAGTTTATTAATAGTCAAACAAAACAGCCATTATGCAAATATGAAAGGCAAATACACATCTCAATCAGTGCTGCTTCTGTTATCCATGGAAATTGCACTTATGTTCAAGTTTGATAAGTGTTCTCATCCAAATTCACTGGCACTAAGCCAAAGCGCTAACCAGAGTATCCTAACTGAAGTAGGTGGCATCTATTATCATTTTAAAACTTATGTCTAAGATCCTTACAAGGACTTATCTGGGAATCTTTAAAACTTACACTGCAACTACAAATGTTGTTTCTATTAGAAACTCTACCATTAACATATAAAATATCCTACATAATGAACCTCATTATCATGAAAGACATTTTTTTTTTAAACTGTCCTGGTATTTAGGTTTGTGGCTGATATGCAATTCTAAGGCATTATATTATATAAGAGTAACAAGTGTTATATTAATATTATTTATATTCTATTATATTCATGTATTTATTTATTTTATTTATATTTCAGATTTCATTTTAATTTTAAGATTTACTAAATGTATGTGATTTTGTCATTTTTATCTTAATTTCTATTTATTGATTTCCGTTCTAGCACTTCATTTTAGTTAGTTGCAAAGGCAACAATTCTAATTTTCATTTGAATTTGGGTTTTTCATCTTATATTTTTTATTTTATTTCAGCTTCATTTAATTAACGAAAATGACTTCCAATAGTTTTAGTTAACAATAACAACACTGAGTTACATACAGTATTTGAGCACTGATAACCATATGGTTCTGCAGGTGCAGTTAACAAAACAGTATATATACCACCTGAGAACCAGCTATCAATCTTGGAAACCTTGTGGGTTGTTCACGTGCAGTTGTATCAAAAGTGGTGCACAAATGGCCAAATAGTGAACAGTCGTCCGCAACTCACTGATGCCAGAGGCAAGCGGAAACAGTTGTGCATTGTTCACAGCGACCACAGGGCCACAGTCCGACAAATAACCAGCAGCTACAACACAAAAGTGGTGCACGGATGGCCAAATGACAAACCATCGTCCAGCTATGTGTTGTCCACAGCTGATTGATGCCAGAGGAGAGCGGAGACTGTCATGCATCGTTCACAGAGACTGCAGGGCCACATTGTGACAAATCACCAGCAGTTACATCAGTGGTGACCAGGGCAATGTGTCACAGCACACAGTTCATCGCAGCCTTCTGCGTGCGGGCCTGAACAGCCCATGACCCAGCCGGGTCCTCATGCTAACTGCACAATGGCCAACAGAGCATGAATTGGGCATAATGGAAGAAAGTGGCCTGGTCTGATGAATCAAGATTCCTGGTGCATCGCATCGACGGCCAAGGCTTGATACGTCAATTACCATCAGTGGCTATGGCACCTGGATGCACTGTTTGGTGGATACAGGCTGGCGATGGTGGTGTTATGCTGTGGGCAATGTTTTCTTGGGCCACGTTAGGCCCTATTATCCCAACAGCACAATTCCTGACACTGTACTGTCAGGTATCTGAACACTGATGCGAACCAAGCACACCCATTCATGGCAACCTGCCGGTGATGGTCATTATCAACAGGATAATGCGGCATGCCACAAGGAGTAGTTCAAACAACATGATGGTGAATTTCTGTTAATGCCTTGGCCTCCAAATTCACCCAGTCAAACATCTGTGGTTCGACTTGGAAAAGCAGGTTCACGCTACATCACCACCATCCCGCAATGTACAGGAACTGGAGGACTTGCTGTTGACATTATGGTACCAGATACCCCAGGAGACCTATGGCCTCGCCATGTGGCCACTGTTTTGTGGGCTAAAGGAGGTCCTACAGGTTAGGTGGCCATGATGTAATGGCTCATCGATACATATATTCATATATGTGTATATATGCGTGTATATACAGTATGTATATAGGATGTTTAAGATTATAAAAATCAAATGACAGCATATAAATCATAAATTATTCTGTTCCATGTCTAGTCTTTTCCCCTTGTGTCACTATTGCAGTTCAAACAATTCCCTGGAAATCTTATAGTCAACCCAACCTGAAGTGGGGCGTCTGCAATTCATTGTACTCCTGTAATCGAATGCATTTCTCTGTGAAAAAGGAAAAAGCTATGAGGGACTTCAATTGATCCATTTGGAATTCACTGAATCTTGAGAGGCAGTTACATGCAGTACCAGAATGGTGCAAGAAGTTAGGGGTTGCTAAGTAAGAGGAATCTGTTACATCAGGTAAAAAATGAAGTCGCTTCACAGCCATATTGCTACTTATAAGAACACTTCACACAACATTTTTTTTTTACTCACCCACAGGTTGTTCCAAACCTGTATGACTTTTCTTCTTCTGTGGAACATACAAGACAATTTTTTGAGAAAAGATTTACGGTAAGTCCATAAAATTAAATAATAAAAATAATAATTCATTACATTTATATAGCGCTTTTCTAGGCACTCAAAGTGCTTTACATTGTCAAGATACTTTGGTATCTCCTCATCCACCACCAGTGTGCAGCATCCACCTGGATGATGCAACGGCAGCCATAGTGCGCCAGAACGCCCACCACACACCAGCTTATTGGTGGAGTGCATGTCAATGGTAACCAAAACTATGAGATCACCAATATTCTTCAATCATTTTCTTTTATGTTCCAAAGACAGAAAGACATACTAATGTTATACAAATGTCATTGGAATGACATGAGGGTGAGTACATTTTCATTTTTGGGTAAACTATCCCTTTAAAGTCAACATCAAATGAAAATGGACTGGAACATCCAGCCACCAAAACAGACAAACACACCGCCAGCTTCTCAGACGGAGGTGGCGAAGAGGAAGATCTGCAGCAAGGGCATCACCTTCAGGGTTGAGAGGTCTGCAAGAACAGCCTGCAAGAAGAAAAAAATTGAAAATGCAAAAACAAAGACTCTTTCTGGCCATGTAATATACAAGCGCGGCTGTAGACTTAAGGTAATGTTGTCCATTATGGTAAATATTCACAACAGAGGCATCCATTCTGATTGCCTGGCAATAAAAACACCAGGCACTTAAGGTGCGGTCATGTTTCGTGCAAGTTCAGCATGCAGATTTCTGAGATGTTCAAGTTGGTCATACGAATTTGCCGCACTCACCAACAAACTCAGTTTGAAACTGACAATGTTATTGACAATGCATAATGACCTTTTTTTATGCATGAGAAAATTTGCTGTTGTGACCACACCTTTAGAACTACCGAACTACAAAGACGCATAACCATCAACCCAGTTTCACCAAATGGAGTCTGCTGGCCCGCACTGATGTGACTCGAGAGCTTGGAAGGTGCTAAGAGTGCATCCGCCTCACAGGAGCCGTTTGGGCGGGGGCCTTCAGAGGGAATCAAATGTTCTCAAGCTTCGGTCCTTAGGGAATTGGAAGCAAATAAATTTAGAGGCCCCTATCAGGTTAGCACGTCTCCTCTAATGTTTCATGACCAGGCCTGGGCGCTAAAAATACAACGTGTTATGATACTTTCTCCTGTAGGGACCAGGTGGTACATAAGCAAGCAGATACTGTCCACCAGCATCTTCACAGTGTCTTGGGGCCCAGGCCGTGCGTCACTGCGGGTTACAGCCAGAATTCATGAAAGCAGGTCAGATGCACTTTTACTACAGCTGTCAATCAAGCAGTTGCATGCCACAGCATCCGACAGTGCAGACCTTTTAGCTAGCATAGGATGCTTTCATAAAAGTTAAACATGTAGAAATTAAGTTTAATATGGGCTTTTGCATATAAAAATGTTAGGTAAAAAAATGTATTTTTATCAACATATACACTAAGTGCCTCTGATTTCAAGGCAAGACATTTTCTGGGTTCAGTACAAGCTAAGCTAAATCAGAATTTGTAGAATGATATTAAATAATTTAGAGTTGTCTCCTGTTTTCCTTAAAACAATGATCTTGGTTACTGTATACAGGCTTTTTCAATGACAGTGAAGGGGAATCTTCACCCAATGTTACCCAAATTATCATGTTACATTGTAATGGCAAGAAAGATGTAAAATTGGATGTAACTTCACACAGAAAGGTTAGTAAGCAATTTATTCCTAACTAAAATCAGTGTTAACACTCTTATTGTTTACATTGTGTCCCTATTTACTTCCATTGTAAGTGCCTCAATGGAACACATTGATATTTGTGTTTATAAAGAAAAAAGGACAATTGGAAACTATTTTGTAGTAATCAACATCATGCCACAAATGCTTCTTATTGGCCTTAACTTGTACTAAACCCAGATATTCTTTTAAGTAATGAGTTATAAACTGTTACACATACAAAGGCACAGAAGGATACACACACACATATAGTGTCGACAGTTCACTGTCATGCTAAAATTCCCATCACATTTGATATCACATCGTCAAAACATTTTAGAGCTGGGGTGTGGGGGACTTGGTCCACTTTTAAAAAGTGGTTATCCCAGCAATTTTGAAACATGTGCCTTGGGTGGACTGGGTTACTAGTGTTGGCTGTGAGTGAAGACACTATTTTTGTATTGCTTAACACACACAAGTAACAACCTCAGCTGATGCCAGTGATGTCACTTCCATTAGGTTTTCGGCTCGGAAGACAAAGACAGCAGCGGCCAGGACTGAAAAAGAGGGACAGACAAACAGTCATCATCCAGGAAATTGGGTGTATGCCATATAACTGACTGACCCTTCTTATTTAAGAGTGCCCTAACATAGAGGTCACATTTTCAAAATGAAGGTAAATTAAAAACAGTTTAACACCTCCTAAACACAGTGATTAACTATTTATCCAATAAGTACCTGACATCAAACTCTGGCTGCATTCAATATGTGATTTGAAACAGTGAAGTGACAGTAAAATGATATGTTTCATGTTCATAATAGTTGGTAAAAGGTCAGACATTAGAAAATGACTGACCCTTCTTATTTAAGAGTGCCCTAACATAGAGGTCACATTTTCAAAATGAAGGTAAATTAAAAACAGTTTAACACCTCCTAAACACAGTGATTAACTATTTATCCAATAAGTACCTGACATCAAACTCTGGCTGCATTCAATATGTGATTTGAAACAGTGAAGTGACAGTAAAATTATATGTTTCATGTTCATAATAGTTGGTAAAAGGTCAGACATTAGAAAATATCGTTCTACCTGCTACTATCTCTAAGGAATCATATCCTAGGATACGGTCCCATAACAATAGGAGCTGGTCAGTGGACAGGTATCCTGAGAAGGCCCGGACTATCCACTTAAAGGCAATACGCAACCTAAGGAAGATACACACACACACACATACACTGAGAAACACTCCCCAAAACATACACACAGTATAGATCTAAACCCTTATTCAAAATTTCTGTTATTTGCTTTCACAAATGTTGAGGTGTGAGACTTGTGTGTGCGTAATTCATCCACTAGATGAAGCTGCACAGTTACAATGTAACACTGTCACTGAAGTGACTTCAAAATTTCAACTGGAAACTAAAGCAACATAAGCTTCATGTGAGTATGTATAATAAATGAGACATTAATGAACATTCACACTTGAGAATAATAATAAATTATATTTAAAAGTATAATTTTTTCAGCAAAAAAACTAAAGTAACGTAAGCTTTATATTAGTATGCATAATAAATTAGGCCTTTGGTTGGTTTTTAGCCCATTGCTATATAGTTGCTAAGATTACTGTGTTTTTAGCACATTGCTATGAATTTGCTAAGGTGCTCCTTGGTGGTGTTTAGCCTGTCGCTATTAAGTTAGGTTACTAAGTTACTAAGGTGATTTAGCATGATGCTTTTCAGCTGCTAAGAGGTTTTGAGAGGTTTTGAACCCATTGCTGTGTGGTTGATGTTCTAGGTGGTTTTAATCATGTTCCTATGCAGTTGCTATTATAATGTGTTCTGGGTGGTTCTTAGCCTCTTGTGGTGGTTCTGGTGGTCGCTTAATATTGCTTTGGTCTCTCTTTCATTGTAAATCCATCTTATTATTCAGCAAGTTGAAATCATCAACTATGGAAAGTTTTGCACAGATCCTTAATAGTTAAGGTTGGGGGTTTAGAATATTATCCTTGCCATAAATATAAGAATTTTATTAAATACATTATTTTGTTATTAATCTAAAGATACAAGATTACATAGATGCTACTACTACTACAGTATGTCTAGGAGCAACATTACTATTTAAATATAGCTACCAGCAGCAATTAAGGGGCCCAATTAAGGGGCAATTAAGCACAACAGAGGTAACATAAAAGGAGCTAAGAAGCTGTCTTTAATTACTCAGTAAAGACAGGGCCCGTATTCTTAAGGATTCTGAGAATCCTCTCAGAGAGCTCCTAATTTATCTTAAAAACCTCTAACTAGGAGTCTTATCTTAAAAGTGATTCAGGACCAATCTGAGAGCCTCTGAGCGAGGAAAATACAATTTTTTTTATCTTAACGAGGAGACAGGGTTGACCCCGTTGCTAGCTATTACACAGTCTTTTTAAGAATGTGATTGGTTGGTTGTTTAAGAAGGAAATAAAAGAGTGCTTTTAAGAGTAGGGTCTATCATAAGCCTTCACTTTGAAATTACAGGCGTAATTTTTCCTGTTTTACCGTACTCTCTCTCTCACACACACACACACACATTATATATGTATATGTATTCTTTATTTTTTATTTACCATGCTGTCATACTTAACATATTTTATAGGAAATGAACAGCGACACAATAAGGTTCTGAAAGTGCTGTAATTGTTTGTAGAGCCCGACCGATATGGGTTTTTTGGGGGCCGATGCCGATATCGATATTAGGGAGTAAAAAAAAAGACCGATATCGATATATCGGCCGATATTCTTTATGTGTAGGCTATATTATAGTACAGTATAGTCAAAAGTTTGGACACACTTCCCATTCAACTTTTGACTGGTACTGTATATAAAATACAGTATATAGCCTACATAAACAGAATATATATATACATAAACACATTTTTTGCAATGATAACTCAAATGTGGTGATCAAACACTTATAATGATGTGACAAACATAGGCCTATGTAGTGGAGGCAGGGTATTTAACAATTTAACAATAAACTTTATTATTCAAAATGAGTCTGACATCAGTGCACTTAGCAGTAAACTTCACTTCACTTATTATAAATAACACAAATAGAACAAAATATATATAACTTGAATTAAGAAATTAAACAAGGTAACTGTGTAGGGCAAGCAAGCTACTACCAAACTAACAGGGTCAGGTTTATGCAGGAAGCACAGCTTTTCCAAATGTAAGCATCTAATATGAATAAATAATAATAATGAATAATATTTTTCACAAATTCTGTGTTGTGTATTTTCTGGTAATCAAATGAACATGCAGAACATGAGGATTCATATTTAAATAAGTCTTTTTGCAGTTTATTATCCACAGACACAGTCTATATATATATATGTACTGACCTGTTTTTTATTTATTCATCAAAAATAATGAAATTCCGTGTTATACAGTAAATTCCGTTTTTATGACAGGATTTCGCGATTCCGTCCATGTGTTCTGCATCGCGGAAATCATAGGGCCCTACTAGCAAACAAATATTATAAGCTCATTGTGAGAGTAAAAGATGGGGACATTGTTGTTTATTTACTTAGCATTGAGTCTCTCCAAGTAGGTGACAAAACGTAGCGTTAAATCACCATTCAACAGACTCAAGCCACCACCGCACTGCCGTCTATTGGACTGCAGAAGATGCTAACTTTTCAATCTGCTACGTTACTGACTGTACTGACAAACTATGCTGACACCGTGTCTGCGCCGCAACAGGAAGCGACAAAGCTACCGTTGAAAATAATTTGAACTTTGTGTCAGCATGTCATAAATAGAACAAGGCATCAGTTTACTGCATCCAGTGTAGACAACATCACTGATTATAATGGGTTTTATTCTACACCGGACTGTTGCGCCGCGCACAATAGAAATTCTATTGTGTTTTGTCGGACCGCACGATGTGATGTGACCGATGTGATAAGCATGAGTTCTGGGCCGTGGCGTGGCCGGTATAAACACCAGCATTGACTGAGTGGCTGCGATCAGGTCCGGTGGCCGTAACACAGGCTTTAATGTGGGCGGATAATTTGAAGCAGCGGACCCGGGTGAAGTTTGAGCTCATCCGCGCATCTCTACACTACACTGACCTGGGTGGCCAGTAGCAAACAATGGAGTGCGCTCTGCTGGACAAACTAAGTAATTACACCAAGTCAGAAGCATTTAATCGTTATATGTTCTGTAAAAAAAAAAGTTAATATCGTCGGCATATTCACCGATACGATATATCTGCACATATCGGCCGATGATATCGGCAAAACGATATATCGGTCGGGCTCTAATTGTTTGTGTGATAACTTTGCTTATAGAAGGTTGTGACAGACCCAATAACTGCTGCATAGTTGTATTTTTCCAGTTGCCAAATATGTTGAAGTAGTTAATGTAGTGATTTACTTCCATTTCTGGTGCTATGGCATTTCTGCGCGGTGTCGGAGATGTTAGCGTGTCTCTAATAAGATCGGTCACAAACATGATCCCTGTACCATCTAATGTGTAGCGTCTTGTTAACTCACTGTCATAAATTGTGTGCAACACATTTCTTCTCCCTCTTCTACCCCTCTTCATGTTTTGTCCCTTTTCTCCACTGCTAAAGAAACTCTTAAGCCTCTTAGAAGTCTTCATCCGTACTCCTAACAATTTTGGACCTTAAGACCTCTTTTAAGGGTTAAGATGCTTTCTGAATTACTTTTTTCTTTACTAGGATCTTTTCTTTAATTTTAAGAGGAAACACCCACATTTCTAAGAATTTTAGCTTAGCATAGATCATTGAATCTGATTAGACCGTTAGCATGTCGCTCAAAAATGACCAAAGAGTTTCTATATTTTTCCTATTTAAAACTTTACTCTTCTGTAGTTACATCGTGTACGAAAATTAAAAGTTGCGATTTTCATGTTGTGACCCATGGTACAGCAGCAAAGTTCCTTGATTATTACGCCGGAATGAGAGTATAGTTCCTAGCCATATCGGCCTAGAAAATCGCAACTTTTCATTTTCTGTCGGTCTTAGTACACGATGTAACTACAGAAGTGTCAAGTTTTAAATAGGAAAAATATAGAAACTCTTTGGTCATTTTTGAGCGAGATGCTAACGGCCTAATCAGATTCAATGATCTATGCTAAACTACAGCTAAAAGTGCTACCGCCAGACCCGGAGATCGGCTGAATGGATTCGAAAACGGTAAAACTCAACTGTTTAACTCTAGGGGAGTTGGAAAATGAGCTATCACTATTTTCAAAAATAGTGGAGTGTTCCTTTAAGTTCCAACCTTGCTTCAACACACCTGTCTATAATTAAGTAGCCCTGAAAACCTTGATTAGCTGATTGAGGTGTGTTTGATTAGGATTGAAGCTGAAATCTGCAGTATGGTAGCTCTCCAGGAGCAGAGTTGGAGACCCCTGTTAAGCCCGAAACACACTGCACGATTTTAGCAATCCTATAAGATCATTGCATGCTACACTGTATGACAAGGATCTAATAAACCTGGCTACGACATGTGTGTAGACTGTACGATGATTACACCTATTGACTCGTAGGCTACGACGCACATTACTATAGAAGAATAAAACTTTATCAGCATGCGCTAGAGGTAAACAACAAGAGCATGATAAATCACACTTTAGCAGTTGTAGTTTTTATGTGTGCTGAAAAAAGTGGAAGCGGCGAAAGAGGAAGGGATAAGAGCTTTAGGTAAGCAGTTTTGTTTTAGCGTCATGTCGAGTTGATTTCATGTCGCATTTTTATTGGTTGGTCAGTAAACGTGGATCGTACCAGCAAACACACTGTGCGATGATCATGCTGTGTCTTTGGTCACAAGACCGTGACAACTGCAGTCTTTGAACCTCTCTCACTGTACGACACAGGACCACTGATTATGAGCCATGATCTGCAGAAATCGCCATGATTGTTTCAATGTATGGTACAGCCAAAAATCGTGCAGTGTGTCTCTGGCTTTAAAGACATTTGTTGATACAGCATTTTGCTACAGAACTCAAAATGGCCGACACTAAAAAAGGCTGACACAGAAAAATTAGGTATCGTCCAATTCGGTATGCCATTCCAAATGCTGAGACCAATCTTATGATTTTTGGCCAAAGTGGTCAGAAGTTATAAACAGAAACGTACATTTTTTTCACTACTTTTTTGAGTAGTGCTGAAACTACTTATGTGCCCTCAGGTCAGGCTTGTTATAACACATACCATGTTTAATCAGAATCCACTAATTCGTTGCATAGATATAGCCTTTTGCACAAACTTTGTAAAATTCGTCAAGGCACTTTACGAAAATGGTTTGATATATCAAAAAGCTTTTGATAACTTTTTGCCAGATTGCTCTGAATATGGTCTTTTATAGTTCAAAAGTTATTAGCAGAAACATGAGCGCAAATTTGGTCTATTGGTGGCGCCAGAGAGTTTGAGTTAGACTCCAAATTTTCTGTTGTTAATGTTTAGACTGTCCTCTATCTGTGTGCCCAATTTCATAACTTTACCCCCAAGTGGTTCTATAATATTCATAAGAGTCATAACAATAAGCTAAAGCGTTTGTAAAATACAGAATTTTACTACAAAATTTGAAATGGTCCACGTTCAAAATGGCTGACATAGGAAAATTGGGTATCATCTGATTTGGTATGCTACTCCAAATCTAATGATATCAGTCTTATGATTGATTAAAGAAAAATGGCAATTGTTTATATCATTCTGACCAGTAGGTGGCGCTATGCCAAAGCTACTCCTGTGCCCTCAAGTCATGCTTGTTATAACACGTACAAAATTTGGTAAGAATCCACTAAAGATATAGCCTCATGTCCATTTTTGTGTGAATTTAATCAAATTCATTAACACGCTTTACGAGAATGGTTTACTCCATTGGAAATCGTTTGATAACTTTTTGCCAAGTAGAAATTTACATTATGGTATGCATTTGACTCACCATGAGCCAAGGCAAAAATATGTTTTGCTTCTAGACCTTACAGTTTAAAAGTTACTAGTAAAAATATGGGTGCAAATTTGGCCTATTGGTGGCGCTAGAGAGTCTGAGATAGAGACTTAAAATTTGCTATGGTTAATATTGCGACTGTCCTCTATCTGTGTGCCAAATTTCATAACCTTCACGCAAGCAATTCTATGGGCTTCCATAGACTTCCAGAGTGGAAGAAGAAGAAGAAGAAGAAGAAGAAGAAGAAGACAAAGACAAAGACGAAGACGAAGACGAAGACGAAGAAGACTAACAGATACAATTGCCCAAACCGTCTAGGAAACTAAACGATTCTGTGCTTGGCCCCTAATAAATGACAAAGAACCAATAAACAAGAATAAAGACCAATTTTCATATTTTTTTATATACTGTATCATACAAGGTATGCTATAAAAATTAATTTATTGAGTAATCTGCTATGTGAACTCACGGCTGGGCTCCAATCTCTCGTAGATGGTAGAAAAGCTGGGGAAGATGAGTCTGCAGTAATCTCTCAAACTGCAAGCACAAAGACACTATACCCTAACACACACACATACACACACAGGTTTGGTGAGCTCAGAATCATCCTAAGTAAACTGACACAAAGGCAATCAATCAGATTACATCAACGTCACACATGCACACACAAGATACTCACAGATGGATGTGAGGAGATAGAGTGTAGTCTGAAGAAGTAGCGAATATACATCTCTCTAAATACGCTGTACAGCTTCGAAGGCTCATTATATAAGAAACACAGTGGTGCAACTGCAGCACAGGATACAGATAGATGATTGTTTACTAAATAGATTTTGCTTTTTGAGGTTATGTGCTTTATTCTTCATACTCACCATACATTGAGAATCCATGAAATGGAATGACACCTATGGGACAGATAGGTCATTTTCTGTTATAACAATTACTGTTATTACAAAATTATTTTGGAAAACTGAAAACTAATAAATCATCTATTAAATGCACTGGCCCTGGTTTCTGACACATTTCAGAGAATTCAACAAATGAAGACTATAAGGTGCATGCTGGGACATGCTGTGATGCAAATACTGTACTTGTAAAAGCTTCTTTCTCACCATTCGGGGGGTAAACCACAGCACACTGCTCTGAGCCAGACTTGCCTGAGAAAAATACATTTTATAGACTGAAAAGAAGCTAAGGAAGATATTATATCAACAAAGCTATATATTCAAAAGACATTACTTTGGATGCAAGATTTAGGCGGTGTAGCGCAGTTGTAGTTGAAATGCTCCAGGACTGCAGTGTCTCGAGAAAAACACAGCAAGACCTGTGGAGAAAAACAATGGTAAAAGAGAGTGATGCAGGGATGATTTTTGAAGGCCAAAAACAGGAATTGAGTTAGCATTTTAGCATTTCCTGTTCTATCGTCCTGAAGACAATGGGGTTTTTCAATTGGTTTTTGGTTAAATTGTTGTTACGTTATCACAAACTGAATTTTAATGTTTTATTCTATGACATAATTAGATCAGTAAAAGCTTTTATTAATCTGCTAAGTTGTGCCAGCAAGACCAGTAAAAGCTTGCTAGCAAGTGGCTTAACAGGACTACAAATGTTATCGGGAACATTAAACAAAACATCACACCGAACAGGTAAAATCATCTACTCACTAGCCTGCTTTTACAGCCTCAGTGTGTTTATCGCACTTGCAAACTATTCTGAAACTTGTAAGGAAAATCGTTTGAAATAAACACTGAAAAATGTGTCATAAGCTTAATGCTAGTGACTATAGTATAGTTGTTTATAGCCGTTTCTGGAAGAAAGAAAAAAAAATTAGGTTTTGGTAAGAAAATCAGAGTGAAACTAACTTCCGGGTTGGCCTACAAAAATATGCATAACTCTATAATTGCCAGCACACACAGACATGGATTACTCACACATTGTATCTTTGCTAAATTGCTTATTTCCTGGTCCAATTACATTTGAATAGCCACTTTAGAGCATTAGCCTGCAGAGGTCAAGCAGATATGTTCTTTCTTTTTTTATTATTTACCTCAAAATGGAAATATAATTAATTTTAAAAACAGCAATCTTTTTAAAATCAGTTATATCTGCTTTCTATGATGGCGGTTTTTCAGTAACTGCATTTTCTTCATTTGTTTTTAATGCATTTCTAAAGCTTTTATAACCGTAAGTGGCCAAATACAGTGCTAGTGACCTAAAAGCTCCAACCAAGTCTTTTTTTTCATATTTTTGAATATTTTTTGGTATTTGCAAACAAAAAGCAACCACACAGAAACACCCTGGCAACCTCTCACAACACCCTAGCATTGTGGTTGCAAATTGTGCTCGGCCAAGTTCCATTATATTATATTATATTATATTAATTATATTATATTATATTAATTATATTAATTATAATAATTATATTATATTATATTATATTATATTATATTATATTATATTATATTATATTATAATAATTATAATAATATTATATTATATTATATTATATTATATTATATTATATTATATTATATTATATTATATTATATTATATTATATTATATTATAATAAAGCAATGTCATCACAGAGAACCTTTAGAGTTTGAATATCTGTTCGCTCTTGCTAATACACTACAAAGAGCCGTTTTTGGACTGAATAGTAATTATGAAAAGTTTGACCCTACTTTTCATAAAATAATCATCATATCATGACCACACAGCATCTGAAATTCTTGAACTACCCAAAGAGTTCACACTAAACCAATATTTACAAGCAGTCCAGCTCCTTTATCACCTCACACCTGCAACTAGTATTACTTATATTATATTATATTATATTATATTATATTATATTATATTATATTATATTATATTATATTATATTATATTATATTATATTATATTATATTATATTATATTATATTATATTATATTATATTATATTATATTATATTATATTATATTATATTATAATAAAGCAATGTCATCACAGAGAACCTTTAGAGTTTGAATATCTGTTCGCTCTTGCTAATACACTACAAAGAGCCGTTTTTGGACTGAATAGTAATTATGAAAAGTTTGACCCTACTTTTCATAAAATAATCATCATATCATGACCACACAGCATCTGAAATTCTTGAACTACCCAAAGAGTTCACACTAAACCAATATTTACAAGCAGTCCAGCTCCTTTATCACCTCACACCTGCAACTCGTATTACTGTTCCATAGTGACAACACAATGTGCTTGTGAAGCTCCAAACAACTGGCTATTTCTGTTGAATATTTCAGAGAAAACTCAGACACAAACAGTCTCAGGACAGAAGTAAGGAGGAATATTGATGGTTGTCCAAAGGATACCAGCTAATGAAACACAAGTAAACAGCAACTTTAAAAATCTCTCTCAAATTGCTTGCTCTTCAGGAATAATTGCTGAACTTAATTTTTTTTCGTAACCATTTATTAAACTAATTTAGGAAGAGTGCATTATTCCCTAAAAAGGCCTCATATTAAAGGCAGTGTATCTTAGCATGTTTAGCTATTTTATAGGAAAAATTAACCTGCGAATTAAATTTGATTATGATTTTGTGGTGAAAGTGAATATCAAGCAGTAGAAATGTAATAAAGCTCATATGACTCATGAATTCCCCATGAATAGAGAAGTCTATTTAGAGCGGTCTATCTGTGCGACTACACAACAGTCCTATCTGTATCTATCTGGCTTTAGGTACATGAGGTCAAAGAGCATGATTTTACATGGGTAACATTCTCACGAGTTTAGTCTACAGCCATATACGTGTTCAAAGACCTCTATCAATGTCAAGTTCAAACTAACTTGGGACATTTTCTCCTCTGATTATCAAAGACTCTCATTTGTGAGAATTCTCATTTGTAATCAGCTGACTGAAAGGTTGTGTTGTATATGTGTAACAGAGAGTGACATGCATTAACTCACTTGATATAAATAGTCCTCAAACACAAAGTAGTAATCGTCATTACTTGCAGTAAGCTTCACATCCTGAGAAGAAAAATCATCAGGCATTTTAATCAGAAAACAGATGCACTAGGGGTACAAAAATGGGACAATTTTTAAATACATAATAGTTTTGCAAACAAAAACAATTTAATCCTATTGCCATTGTATCTGTTTACCAGTTAAGCATATACCGTAAGCTTGATCTTGGAAGAGATGGGTCTTTCAGAACTGTTACTCTCTATTTGTTAAAACCTATTATAGAATATTCAATAGAACAAATGGTGTATACAAAACCATTTCCATCAAATAAACTATACTGTAAATGTACCTTATATATTAGGTTGTCCACCAGCAGGTCATGGTGTATGACTCTAGCCTTCAGCTGTTCATAATGCGTTATGTCCTGTTTAATGAAATAAAAACAAAAGAATTGACACAGAGTCAATTTATCTCAGTCTGCTGAATTGAATGAACCAATACATAATGGATAAAGAAGCACCTATACGCAGATCAAACTATCCCCAGTCATTACAGCTAAGTTAATTATACTAACCAATTAATAAATTAAATTGCTATTGTAAGCAGCATATTAATAAGATTGCTGGGTCAAAAATGTTAAATGTCACAAAAGGCTGTACTGGAACAGATCACTGCAGATCTGAATTAGAACCAGATCTAAATCATCTATGATTTTTTTTTTTATAGTAGTGCAATTTTTTTTTATAACTAAATGCCATTTTCATTTTTCATATATATATATATATATATATATATGAAAAATGTATATTGTCAATGTACATTAGAATAATAGGGTCACACTTTATTTTAAGGTCCAATTCTGGCTATTAACCATTCAAACCATTCCAAACTCCTAATTTGCTGCTTATTAATAGTTAGTGAGGTAGATATTAAAGGGATAGTTCACCTTCAGTTGCTGGTCCCCATTGACTTGCATAGTGTGGTTTTTTTTTTCATACTATGGAAGTCAATGGGGACTAGCAACTGAAGGTGAAATATCCCTTTAAGTGTAGGCATTGGGTAGGATTATGGATGTAAAATATGGTCATGCAGAATATGTGCTTTATAAGTACTAATAAACAGCCAATATATGCATGCTACACTGAACAAAATTATAAACAGAACACTTTTGTTTTTGCCCCCATTTGTCATGAGCTGAACTCAAAAGATCTAAGACTTTTTCTATGTACACAAAAGGCCTATTTCTCTCAAATATTGTTCACAAATCTGTCTAAATCTGTGTTAGTGAGCACTTCTCCTTTGCCGAGATAATCCATCCACCTCACAGGTGTGGCATATCAAGATGCTGATTAGACAGCATGATTATTGCACAGGTGTGCCTTAGGCGGGCCTAAGGCACACCTATGGCACACCTTTCAATTTCTTTAAAATTGAAAGAAAACTTTCAATTTTCCTGCATTCAAGACAAGTCATCCCAGGAAGTTCTTACTTGGAAATCATAATTGCAAGCTAACTTTATCATAATTAACTTTGATTATCCCTTATCATTTTAAACATTTACGCCCTAAGACAGGCTCCAATCATGAGTCTTTTTAAAAGCCCATTGCCCTCCTGTTACCCAGAGGGACAGGATAATTTTCCCCATTTTTCTGAGAATAGGCATGTGAGCTGGTCGCTGTCATCCAGACAGCTGCTTTATCAGTAGTTACATAATTGTTCCACCTGAAACATTTAAACCTCTTGTGATTTCCCCTCTTCCCCTCTCTGTCATTCCACTGGCTCCTGTCCTGCCCACATCTACAGCACTAGCTCAAAAAGTGAGGGATTACTCTACTTGTTTAAAATGTGTCGCCCCACGCCGGGTGTTTGTCTTCTTATTAACACATAGGGAAAGTACATTCTCCAGATGCTGTTTCACTGCTTTAATGAAGGCCCAAGGACCCATCAGCCAGCTGGGAGACATTGCTTCACATCTGAAAATGGCAGCTATTAGATGGCCAGTGTGAAAAATCACAGCGGGTACCTGCTCTGTCATTTCTGCCCCACAAGCAACTCAAAGCTAATTTTATTAGGAAGGATTATGACTGTTTTCACACTTGACTGGACTGCTTGGTCTGGACCAGTGTACAATTTCAAATGTCTTTTCACATTTTGAAAGGCATTATGCTATAAAAAGCATGCAAATTATACATCATTAAGAGCAGCTACCAAACCACCTTTTAAAGCAAACTCAGATATGGCTCAAATATGGTACACATCAGCAAAAACTGGTTTCACACCAACAAAACATACTTCATTCTGATCTCAGCCTTAACAAAATCTCTACTGTAAAAATGTTTACATCTTATATTTAATTTTTATTAACCCTCACAAAACAGTGTAATGCTTTTACTACTTGTACTCTGAAACTGTCATTTGCACAGCATATGGAACATTTCAGCCATGAATGTGTCTGATAAGTACAAATAAATACACATAAAATGTCAGTTCTGGCACATGTTCACAACAACTGCCATAAATGGCAATTAAGATATACAAATGGTTGCATCTCTTTAAAGGTACCTAAATATTTATGGTACTTTTATATATGTTTGAGGATCTGTGCATGACTGTGTTTGTATGAAAGGGAGAAAAAAGTACGGTACATATACACTACCTGGGGTCTACTATAGACTGGGGTTTGTGAAAGAAGTCTCTTGTGTTCACCAAGGTCATTAATTTGATTAGAAATACTGTAAAAACAGCAATATTGTAAAACATTATTATAATTTAATAATTGTTTTTTTTTAAATGCTATGTATTAATGTGACGGCAAAGCTGAATTTTTCACAGTCATTACTTGAGTCTTTAGTGTCAAAGTGATCTTTCATAGATCATTCTAATATGCTGATTTTGTGTTCAAGAAACATTTCTTATTATTATCAATGTATCACCATGATCCATTTGACATTTTCATTGGGATTCTTTGATGAATAGTAAGTTCAAAGGAATAGAGATTATTGGAATTTTTTATATAATTGTCACTTATGATCAATTTAATGTGTTCTTGCTGAATAAAAGTAACAATACTATATATATATAATATATATATTCCCTTTGAAAATGGCTATTGAAACCACTTTACTCTAAAGAAGCACTTCAAGTGAAGACTCTGATAGGTGCAGGGCAGTACCATAACATACACACACACACACACAAAAATTCACTGGCTCACTTCCATCTGTCAAATAACTGAATAACTGTCAAAACAGTGTCCCCTTTCTAAATGCAGTTTGAAATGTAGTCATTACCTCAGGATCATTAGTAGTATTCAGGATGAGAGACCACAGCTGGGCCCTGAGACCGGTGGGGCAGCCCTGCCTGCTGTACTGCTGCGCCGCTGCACTGTCTTGCTCACTCACCACTACAGAAATGCAGAAAAACTCAACTCAAACTTTATTTATAAAGCACTTTCAACACCACGACTGGAACCAAAGTGCTGTACAGAGTAAAGCTGTGTAAGGAGTGAGTACACGAGATAACAGAAACATTACTTAAGACGTCACATGGAAAATTAGAGCTAAAAAGAACAGTTTTATGATCAGAAAAAAACGGTATCAACAATCTTCAGATTACCAACAGAAAACCCCAAAGATAAAACAAGATCAAGAGTATGACCATGCTCATGAGTTGGACCAAAAACACACTGTAAAAGATCAAATGACTCTAATAAATTTAAAAAATCTCTGACCAAGGGCTTTGACGGGCAACACACATGTATATTGAAATCCCCTAAAATTAAAATTTTGTCAAAAGAGGGGACAATTGCAGATAACAGTTCAGAGAATTCTTGTATAAAATCCCCATGAGAGTTTGGGGGTCTATAAATTAAAACACATAGCACAGACTTAAAAGAATTCAATGTAATTAGCTGAGATTCAAACGAACAAAAATAGTCTGAGGGTAAAAGTCTACATTTAAACTTTTCTTTAAAAACAACTGCAAGACCCCCACCCCGGCCAACGGACCTAGGGGTACTGAAAAAACTGCAACCAGCAGAAGAGAGTTCCGAGAGTGAAGACGTGTCGCCCGCGTTAAGCCAAGTCTCAGTAACAAATAAAAAATCAAGTTCGTGAGAGGCAAAGAGATCGTTCAGAATAAAAGTTTTATTTCCCAGAGATCTCGCGTTTATCAACGCCATTGTCACCGGAGTGGTGTCAGAAGAAGATAGGGAAGATTGAACGAAAAGGTTTACCGGATTCCCGTCACGTAAGGTGCGAAGGTTTACGTGGTTAACTCCACGAGCGGCCGACCGCCGCCTGGCGCGAACCATCCGCGAGGACCGGGACATCGACACCGGGGGCGGGAAGCCAGGCACAAGATATGAACATCTCAGGTTCGCCTCCTCGACCTCTGCCACGGAGGACGGTGGTCCGATAAATGGAAACCTCCTGGTCTTCTTTGATCTCACGAGGCCTCCAGTGCGCTTCCCACGCTTCTTTCGGCGTTTCCTCCACAGGCACAAGCATCCAGGCAGGTAACACACCTTCCTCAGCGCAACTGGCACAGACGCATACCGTGCATACGGAAGGCAGTCTTCTCTGGTATCGCGAAACAGACAATCAGACACCGCCGACCAAATATTCAGAAAAGTTAAGCGATCGTACACCAGAGGGAAGCAAACAGAGCGCGTAATAAAACAAACAAGGAAACAAAATACTAAAACAGGTAAAAGCAGACTGTGACGGCACGCCGGCAAACATCCTGGCGCCATCTTTTTTGAAAGAAACAAGTGGGACCCTCACACATCTTAGTAAACACTTTTAGAGAGAAACCTTCTGGATGTGTCTAAAACCTAAAGCAGCTGCCTTGATGCCAAATCAAGGTGCATCCTAAAGAAAACCGTAATATAATGTCTAATGATCTGGAGCACATTCAAGAGATCAAAAATGCAGTAAAACAGTAATATTGTGAAATATTATTACAACTTAACTGTTTTCTATTTTAATATGTTTTAAAATGTATCAGCATATACATTCATGTGATGGCAAATCTGAATGTTCAGCAGCCATTAACCCATTCTTCAATTGGCACATGATCCTTCAGAAATCATCCTAATATGCTGATTTAGTACTTGGGTTACAATTCTTATTATTATCAATGTTGAAAACAATTATAATTTTATTAAATTTACACCATTCTGTTTTTTTGAATGTATAGCATCATGGGATATCACAGGCAGTGGAGGAAGCATCTATGCTGCCTTCAAAATCTGACCAGACTGTATTATTTTAAGGGAAATGGAATGGCAAATATTAAACAAATATTCTCCACAAGACCCAGTGATAAAGCAGTATTAAACAAGCATTCGTGTCATGATAACGACAAAGAGTTTATTTTTACCTTTTTTTCCAATGTGAATGTGCTCACTCTCAAACAAATCTGTGTTGAAACAGCGGAGAAACAGAAAAGAAGTGAGAGGGCAACACCAACATTTAAACACGAGCACTGAACCTCTTTGGCAACATTAAATACAATACATAAACACACTACATAGAGAGTTCATAGGGTCAAAACATTACAAGCAGAGTTTAGGTGAAGCCTCTGTTGACTTGTGGCGTGACAGTAAGTGAAGAGCTTATCAAAAACAGGAGGAACATCCTATTTGGACTAGTGTGAAAGGGATCTGATGGTAGTAGAGCTCATCCCATGTAATATTACCCCATTACTCAACATGTTATGGATGAAATGTGTAAATAATTACCTGGAGGAACATGAGTGTGATCGTCTATACCAAGCTGTCCATAAGTAAGACCTAGTTCTGGATACATTTCCCTCTGCAACAAATACAAATAACTGGTCAAAATGATCAAAATATCTCATCCCTACCAATGGACGTGGGTTATATTTATGATCATTTATAATTATTGTGAGACAACGCATGAGACAATGTAACATCACTTAAAATTTTATGGTTGTGTAATTCTGTGGTGCTAATTATTATTGTACTATTTATTTGCATGTAACATCATTATTCTGGTAAATATTTAAGTCAGGTAAATTTTAGAACCTGTTATTAATTCTGAAACATTGGTTTAGTACAGAAACATTTTTGTACTAATTTTGTATGTTTTTAAAGATATTTTGCTTTTGCAAGGATTGGAACATACTAGAAGTTTCTATAACATTCTGTATTATTCTAGTGCTTTCTTGAACATTCCAGAACATTGTGGGAACATCCAGCATACACTTCTGAAGTTTTGGACGACTCAGTGTTGTTGGCTCAGTACTGTGCATGTACCATGTAATTTTTATGCATGAGTAATAACAGATTAGCTTTTATAAGTTTTCTTTAGTCGGGATTTTTAAGCTCAAATTTAAGACCTTTTTAAGACTTTTTTAAGACCTGCACAAATAAAATTAATACCATATGAGCGGGGTAGGGCCATTTCTATAATACCATATTAAACTGTAAAATTACTGTAAAAAGCATTATTTACAGTTCAGATACAAGTTTTCACAAAAACAAAACATTTTATAAAATGATAAACTTTACATTTCAGCCTTTAAACTATTTTTAAAAAAATGGATGAGTCAAAAGTATTAATTATTATATTAATTTAAACAATTATTATCAATAAATTATTATATCAATTAAATAAAAAATTAGGGTGTGCGATATTGACAAAAAATTATATCTCGATAATTTTCTGGGATTTGATCGATAACGATAATTAGACAATATTTTGCTATAGAGTGTGTTATAGTGCTGATATCTTATCTCTAATTGTGCTAACAGCTGACTCCTGGATTTTTTTATATTCGTCATATTCTGTGTGGTCAGTTCACAGCAGTGATAGAAAGTAATTATTTCCAACCAGTTTTATGGGCATTTTTACTTTTAAGCCATTTTTTCTCTAAAGGTGTGCACCATCTTTTGAGTCAAATTCTTGCATTTGGAATTTTACCAAGCAAATGAAAATCAGTATCAACAAATTGATCTTTGCAATGCAGAGGAAACACAGAAGCTGCATCTGAAGTGGCATTTAGATGTATTTGCAGCTCTGAGGGACATGGAATACTCTAACCTGCAGTTACAAATGCATAAATAATGTTTTAATATTTTAAACATAAAACATTGAAAACTGAAGTATCAGTTTCAGTTAAAAATGAAAATGTACCTTAAACGTGAAATTAAAACTGCCAGTAGGTGGCAGCAAGTCACTGTTAAGTGAGTCATTGCAACTGAACCGAATCATTTACACGTTGATTCATTCAGGAACGATGTGTTTGAAATTATTTTTGTAGGAGAAATAGAGCAAAAGCAGGAAATACGGTGTCTAAAACATAAGTCTCTTAATATTAACTTCTTGTTTATTGAACTGTTGTATAAAATCAATATCACATTTGTAATAATGCTGACTTTGGAGAAAAAAAACGGCACTTTTCGTGTGATATTAACTATATGAAATTATATAAATATATACATTTTCTGCCCCATATCTTAAATTATGTGATAATTCTAAATGCATTTTAATAGACTGATTAATGCAGTGAAAGAAAGCACTCTAAATGCGTGCACTAGTCTAACCTGCTAGACTTCATCATCTAATGTATGCGTGCCCGCTGTAGGTGTTTTGTTTGCTTTTCGCGATATACTCGATAATATCAAATCGCACATCATTAAAACAACAACAACGATATTATCGCACACCCCTATACTCTTTAGATTTTTATAATGCATTGTCTTCTTATCGATCCACCAGTTCACATTTAAAGCTCTGCGTGTTTGCAGGGTAAAAACATGGGTCGATTTTCGCATTGGTCTGAACTCTGAACAAAACAACAGTTTTATTGAAAATGCTCATTCATTCTCTGCCAGCAGGTGGAGCGTTTGGTAGAAATATAACTGTTTCCCCGGTAACAGCAGAACACAAAGCAGCGCTGCACCGGACTTTGAACATGCAGTGCTCATGTTTATTTCATGAAATCAAATCATAGCCTTTTGAAGTTTAATAATCACATTCAGCCGTATCGCAATTCTGGTCTTTCCGTCCCCAAATTTAAGACCTCTTGAAATCATAATTAAGACTTTCTTGTACAATTTAAGACTTTTTAAGGCCTTAAATTTGATACAACTAAATTTAAGACTTTTTAAGACTTTTTTAAGACCCGCGAAAACCCTGTTAGTTAGCTTGTAATATTTCTTTGACCGCTGTTAATGCTGTTAAACAAAAATATGATTTTCATATTCAGCATGTCAAACTCCACAAAAAAACATTGAAAATCAAAATGAATCAAAGCTTCAGCTGGTGAAAAAAGGCAGTGAGCACCAAGATAGTTTCCACAATCATTTAGATTTTTCTCTAACCCTTGATTACTGTAATTTGTTCAAAGAAATGGTTTCAGATGATAATCAGCAGTCACGATGCACATTCTTTGTGTCTTGACATTAAAAAAATAGAAGGAAGTGAAATAAAAAAAGGGAGACTCACCATTTGAGGAATGTCACGGACGTTGAGGGAAACCTGGATTAATCCCCAGTGGCTTCTGACTGTGAGATCTTCACTGCGCTCATTATTTGGGTTTTTTAAACCAACCAACACCTACACAACAAGAAATATTATGTTTAATATTACCTAAATAAGAATACATATGTATAGTAAAAAGTGAGACATGATAAATGCTACAACCTTTGATAACATTTTCTACAAAACCCTCTTATCCCAGCTGAATATGCCAATTATATATAGCCAGCAATAAATAAACCATTCATAAGTGTAAACACTGGCTCTGTGGTGCTATCAAAACAACCACTCAGTCAATTCTCACTCGAGAGTAATTTAACCGAACATTTCCTGAGGGAATCCAATCAGCTGCTTCATATCCAGGCCTATCTTTCTCATTTGGACCAGATGTTTTCAATAAACTGATTTGATTATGTAAGTGAGACCCACCTCAATGAAGTCTTTGGGTGCGTAGACAGGCCTGAATTTGCTTAGGTCTGCAATAAGAAAACACAGATCTGAGTGCTTCCAAACTTGTATATTATAATAGCCTACCAATTAGTGTCATTGAAAACATGATGACGAAATTCTCTCAATCTTAACCCTTCAATAATGTCAAAGACATTGTTATAGTTTTTATAATGCAGCAGACATAATAGCTCTTTAGGTAATGGGAACCTTAATTTGCAACCTCAGTATCTTAATTGCTCTCTGTTATCTGTGGCATTTCATATCCACAATGATTAATAACAGAAAAAAATATATAAAGTACACACAGAAAAAATGCAGTACTGGAGTATTACTACTTGTTTAAATAAATAACAATTTTCCAAAATCTCACACAGCTATTATACAGCTTCAGAAGACCTGGAATATGGCATACAAGTTGTATATGATTTTATATGATGTATGTGATACTTCCTGTGTATTTTTTGGACATACAAAAATCCCCATCCAATTGGAAAAGAGCATAAACCTTTGTGTTCCAAAGAAGGAAAAAAACATGTTAACCAACTAAATGAGTGAGTGAGTGAGTGAGTGAGTGAGTGAGTGAGTGATAAATGGAGTGAGTGATAAATGATGACCAAATTTTCATTTTGCAAGTAATCCTCTAACATGAACAAAATCTGTTAATCTGGCAATATAACTTTATGTTTTGAAAGTCATGCTGAAATTGTAAGACAGAACAAGAACAAGAGAAACAAAGTGCAAGCAGAAGAAAGAATGCAAGAAAGAAGCTAAGCAATAGCTTTAGTAATTGGGATGTGGTCCAGGCATCTGGACATGCTCTGGATTCACAGGAAGGGCTGTTTATGCCAGTGTCCTGCAGAAAGCGGTGAATGTTATCATATACACTGCAAACTGATAGCATTGTTATGGAGCTGTTATATTGCTCAGGGCTTCTGTGTGTGAGCCAAACCTCTGTGTGTAAACATTCTGCAATGCATGAACACACACACACACACACACACACACACACACACACACACACACTGGGATGTAACCTTGAGTATGTCAGAGTGGAAGAACAGACTGTGAGTGTCTGCATTACCTGGTTCATCAGTTCCCATCTCGTTCCATTTATTTGTCAGCTCTTTCTGCTCTGGGACTGGCCGCTGTATAAAAGAAAAAAAAAGACAGTTTAATTGCTCAAACGCACATGTAAATGAGTCATTGTACATACATGAAATAAACCTTTACCTTCCGTGCCAATGGAATTCCCAACTCAGTGCACATACTGTTCAAACTCTTCAGGATCCTCTTCTCCCAGTTCACCTACAACAAACACACACAAGACAAACTATCAGTCGTCTATGCACTCTGCATGGCTCCAAAATGTGTTTGGACACTCAGGCCACACCTAATGTATGAATGTCTTCGCTAAATATAACAAAATAAAAAACGAGTGAAATCTATTGTAAATAAAATAGCACATACTTGTCAAAACATCTCACCAAAACAAGTATGGTCATGTTACAAACAAGCGGCAACCTCCCGCTCTCTCTCATGAAGCCAACACGGAAGTGACTTAAACTGTAATTCATCAACTGGCCGCAAAAGGCTGGCTGCAAAAGGGAGTCAATCCCATAGACTCCCCATGTTAAAATGCCCAACTTTACAGCAGAAAAATACATGTTTACAGCCTGGTTCAAAAAATGATTTTGGTCTATATAGCTAATTTTGCCCTTCATGACATCTGTGAGGGGGGTGAATTTTTTTATAAGTCATCCGTTTAAATTATATTAAGCCTTAAAGTTCTGCATAATTAAGGGCGTGGCCACTTGAGTGACAGGTGGATTGCCGCTGCTGTCACCACCGTCGAGCTAGGTGGGTGTGGTTTCAGCAACCAGCTCCCGCCTCTTTGCCCATTTTCGATTATCCGGGAGTGACGCGCGGTGACGCGCTGCCAAGATGGCGACGGCCGGCTCTGCCCACTTTGAGCTTCAAAAACGCTCTTCAGGAACCTACGGGTGACGTCACGGACACTACGTCCATGTTTTTATACAGTCTATGGTTACAAATAATGACTAATGAGATTTGAGAGTCAGTAAGATTTTTTTTTTTCTTCAGAAGATGTATTTAATTTATCAAACATGACAGTAAAGACATTTATAATGTTACAAAAGGCTGAATTAAAAAAATCCTGAAATAAAACATATCCTCACAAATATTAAGCAGAACAACTGCTTTAAGTAATAATAAATGTTTTTAAGAAGCAAATCAGCATATTAGAATGATTTCTGAAGGATCACGTGACACTGAAGACTGGAGCAATGGCTGCTGAAAATTCAGCTTTGCCATCACAGAAATAAAATACATATTTAAATACATTTTAAAATATGTTAAAATAGAAAACTGACGTTTTTTTTGTAATATTTCACAATAGGGCTGGGCGATAATTCGATAACGATAATTATCACTATATAATTTTCCTCGATAAAACGATATGAAGAGTTCGATAAATGTTCGATATAATGTTTATGCGCCAAAAGCGGAACGAAACAGCGTGACTCCTTTGAATCGCGCCACACGGACCGTTTATTTTTTTTATTTATTTTTTTATTAATGCCAAGGTACCAAATATAAAAATACAGAGAATATCAACATTACATACAAAGAGGTGACATTACATGCAAAGCACCATTTATAGACGTATGTAACAATAAATAAATAATACAAAACGAAAGATTTAACAAAATAAATTAAAAAGATTAAATAAATTAACCGTTTTAAAAGCCTTGAGATTCTTGGAAGATGAGATAGTTTGGATATACTGTTGAACCTCTTTTTTATAAACAATATATAAAGGATTTTGATGAGTGAATTTACTGCGGTGAATATTAAATTTTGCAAGAAGTAATAATAGGTTAATAATAAAATATTCATTCATTTTATCTTTTTGTATATTAAAGAAGCCAAACAGTACATCCTTAAAAAGCAGAGAGAAACCCTGGAGTACACTACGATTGATAACATTAGAAAATTCAATCCAAAATAGCTGTGTGTGGGGACAATCCCAAAAGATATGCATATCAGTTTCATTAGTGTCACCACAAAAAAAAAAGCTTGTATCTATTTCTGATTTAAACCTTTTCAAAAACATTTTGGCTGGGTAAAATCTGTGTAACAATTTGAATGAGATTTCTCTAACCTTGTTAGTTATTATGTATTTCGAAGACAGAGTCCACACTTTTTTCCAATCAATATAATCAACCACATTCTTCCAATAAGACATCAAATATGGATTTGTTACAAGCTCCTTTTGAAAAAGCGACCTAATCTTATAGTTATGTGGTGAAGGATGTGGCAAAAAAGCATAGTTTTCCTACTGGGATTTCAAATGGGTCTAAAGAAATAGATAAAGTGCTGGATGATCCAACAGAGTCACTTAAAAGCAGAACAGCTCCTTTAGGAATAACGTCCATGACAATGGAGAATTCTTTGGGAGTTACTGGAAAATTAAATTTACATAAGAATTCTTCGTAACTTAAAATAAGACCTTCTGAGTTAAATAACTGGGAAACAATCAAAATGTTTTTCTCAAACCAACTACTAAAAAACAAAAATTTTCTCTTAAATACAATGTCTTGATTGTTCCAAATGAAGTACCGGTGAGGGGAGAAGTTGTGCTTAAAGATTAATGACCATGCAAAGTAATGCCTGTTTATGAAATTTAGATAAATTGTAAGGGATTCTAGCACACACGGACCGCTTATCCGCTCGGATCAAAGTTCAAACTGTCTTGCGGTGCGAGCTCACTAGAGCAGATGTGTTTACTCGGTCACGCGGGCATTAAGCAGCACTGTGAGATCCAGTGTGAAGCACTTGAATTCAGCGATGAACACAAATAAAGCTCGCGCATTCATAATAAAACGTGCCCCAGACAGCTCCGGGGGATGAATAAAGGCCCCTTGTAGCGAATCCATGAGTTTTTGTAAGAAAAATATCCATATTTCAAACGTAATAAACACTTTTCTCTCACTTCCGCGATGGGGCGTGTGAACGCTATTAAGATGGTGACATTGCCCAGATTCTTGTATCTTTTTCAGAACTTACCAATATATTTGCCTAAAAAGTTCTTCAAAATTTTAGACTCTATTGTACTGCCATTTGTCTGGGGCTTCAAAACACATAGAATATCTAAATTACATGTGTGCAAGCCAAGGTCATTGGGGGGTTTAGGTCTACCAAATTTTCAGCACTACTACTGGGCTGCCAATTGTAGAGCCTTAACTTACTGGTATGGCCCACAGCCCAATAGTCTCTCAGATGATCTTCCTTCATGGCTTGTGATTGAACGGGGTTCTTCAAACTCGTCTCTCTCCTCATTGCTATTTGCAGCCCCAGAGACATCTAAAGTCGCAGTAGGATCCCACTTTATGATTAATAATTCTGTTAGGATATGGCGTCAGATCAGCAAGACATTTAAACTGCCAAATACCTATTTGTTTGCTCCAATCAGTCGTAACCATGCCTTTAAACCTTCACCCTTAGATCCAGTGTTCACAGGTTGGGCTAGAAAAGGAATTCTCTCCTTGTGAGATTTATATATGGACAAAAGTTTTTCTACATTTGATCAGATCATGTTTCTGACTAGTTAACTTAAAGAGCTCCGTCTTCTTTCTTCACAGATTCACCCAGATCTACACTGACTGTGACACCAGACAGTCCTGTATTTACTGGAGAGACAGTCAATCTGAAGTGTGTGATTGAGTCTTACAGTGACTGGAGATATGAGTGGTATGAAGGCACAGACAGTGTAATGTTACAGACGTCTGAGCGTTACACTGTAAACAGAGACACTCTCACTATCAGAGGAGCTACTGAGTCTGATCAGGATTTGTACTGGTGTAGAGGACAGAGAGATGAAAGACCAAACTCATCACAATCAAGCTCTGTTTCTCTCGCTGTGACAGGTGAGTTAAATATCATTGTTCTCACGCTACTACATAGGGCCAGGCGATAAAATGATAATTAATTTATCATGATATCATTTTCCTTGATAAAACGATAACAAGAGTTATATAAATGTTCAATATAATGTTTAAACAGCAGCGCAGCGCGAGCTCACTAGAGCAGTTGCGTTACTCGCGACACTAAACAGCCGTGAGATCCAGAGTGAAGCTTCAATTCAGAGAAGAACACAAATGACTCGCTGATTTAAACTAGATTCAAACCAGATGAAACAGTGCTGACAAACAGGAGAAACACTGTGCACAACGCAACAATACATTCAGAAGACTTTTCAATCCACAAATCACCATCATTTACCATGAAGTTACTGTAGTAATGCTAAATGCACCATGGTATTGTGGCATAAATGTGGGATATTCATATCAAATTTTATTATATAATTAGTGTAGACATGACTTAAATGTATTAAAGGAGTAATGGAATATAATTACAGTCTTTATTTGTCATTAATGTATAGTGTTTGTGCATTTATACTAAATATATTTAGACTACTGTTTTTCATACTAGAAACCATACATAGTTACATTTTTACCATGGTATTGAGGTGCTGTATGAGTGGTTTTAACTGTGGTTATGATGATCTAGAACAGTGGTTAATTTTAATAAAACTCAATCAGAATAATTAAATTTCACCATATAAAAAATAAGTTGTTAGAATATTTACAGATGTTACTGATTTTGATAATGAACAAAAATTTACCTCTGCATCCTAACTCAAGCTACTATCAAATGTGCATTTCTAAGAGACAAAAAGTGATATAATTATTATTAAAATTATCAGGCAACCCAAACCTGTTTCTTGATTTGAATTTGAATTGTTTTTACTGTATTTTTGATTACATAATCCAGTCTTGCTGAGCATAAGAGACTTCTTTCAAAAACACTTAAAGATCTTACTGACCCAAAAATTATGAATGTTAATTTATATGCTAGTTTATTTTTACTGAAGCAAAATGTTGATAACCAGATCATGTTTATACTGTAGTTAATGTGATTAACTACATCTGTAATTCCTTTGCACCTTTGTGAACTTGAGGAGAACTGACTTAATACAGTAGAGTGAGTGACCTTGACACCAGATGATTAAAACTAATGGCTCAGAAAAATTAAGTTTGTTCTGAGAAATTGTAATTTGTCATTTGTCTGAAGAGTCAAAAAAAGAGTCATAAAATTATGTTACTTATGCAATGGCATTCAGAAATGTAAAACGTGACTTACAGTAAGAGTTCAAAAGTGTTGAAATACTGTTTGATGCCACATTTGAGTATAAGCAGAGAAATACAGTATATAAAGACTAAAAATGAAGAGAGCCAGAATAATAAAGATAAAGATGTAAGAGAAAGAGTGTGTACCTGGGTTTTGCGCATATATGCCAAGGGCTCTTTGGTGTGTTCAGGAGGTGCTCTAGGGTGCCCAGGGGGAGGCAGACTATACCACACAAACACACATAAATAAAAAAATAATATTATTAAAATTAATAAATAAATAAATACTGATGATGGATTCAACAAAAGCATATACCATTGACTAACAACCACACAGCTGAGAGTGGATCTGTCTTTAAATGTTTTTTTTTGTTAATTCTTCTGTGAAGAAAATGAATGGGATTTTTACTTGTATTCATATATTTGCTCCTCCCACTCTCAAACTCTGACATACACCAGATCTTCACATTAACTGTCTACACAAAAAGACATTCAACAAGGACACCTGTACTGGGGTTGGGCGATGTCTACCAAATTGGCATCGGACGATGTCTGCAGTGAAACATCGTGATGGACTATGGCATCGGGGGGCGGGGCGGGGGGCACGTGGTTGGGTGTGCTTGAAACGTGAAACAAATAACGCGTTCTACGGAGCCACTAAAAGGTTAGCCGCTTGCTAGCGGTAGCCTGTTGCATAGCGGATTGCGGGAGAGGGGGGGGGAATCACGATGTCAGCTTAACATCGTGATGGCATCGTCTATCGGCCCAACCCTAACCTGTACTATAAGACACCAAGGCATCAAGGCACCATACTCCATTATCAAACTTTATGAAGCTCTTTCTTTCAGTCCCTTCAGTGTTTCCTCTGTCCCATTAACTTAAAACATTAATTTTAGAATAAACACATCACCAAAAATGACAAACAGAGAACGTGTATCTACAAAACAACTCACAACACTGTCCATTTGAAAACAAGGGGTCATATATTTAAAGGTATACATATCTATTTATTGTTTTTCTCATCTGTAACAATGTCCAGCTCAAACTATTTTATTGGCTACACTCTGTAAAAGTAATTTGTATTGTACCTCTGGCTCTCCTGTCAGTCCTGTCCTGTATTTGGATCTGGATCATTTTAAGCTTAATAAAATTATTCTGTCTCTTGTCATTTTTACATTTGGCCAAAATTAGTTCCTGTCATAAAACTGTATAAATACTAAAACTGGAGGAACAAACACTCTAGACTCTAGTGAGTGAGAGAGAGAGAGATAATATCATCTTGTCTAAATCTCATGTCATAATTTTTATTGCTGATGATCTCAGTATGTTAATACAGGAATAAAATAAAATAGAAAATACAAGTAGAAGAAACCAGTTAATGTAATTAATGAACTGCATGAGAAAAAAATGTTATATTCACAATATATCACTTACATGTGTAATTCCCTGTAAACTGCATTTTGTAATTTTCTCTCCCAACCTACAAGAATGAAAGGATCAGTGACACCACAAGAATTACACACAAGAAGCACATTCATCACTTGAGCAATTCATCACTTGATAGATGTCGAGATCATATATTATATGTTCAGTCACATGATCATTAATAAAACAGGTAACACTTTATAAGTATACATTACTAAAGTACTTACAAATGATTTGAAAAATGTTAGTTTATAGTTCATTACAACTCACAACACTGTCCATTTGAAAACAAGGGGTCATATATTTAAAGGTATACATATCTATTTATTGCTTTTTTTCTCATCTGTAACAATGTCCAGCTCAAACTATTTTATTGGCTACACTCTGTAAAAGTAATTTGTATTGTACCTCTGGCTCTCCTGTCAGTCCTGTCCTGTATTTGGATCTGGATCATTTTAAGCTTAATAAAATTATTCTGTCTCTTGTCATTTTTACATTTGGCCAAAATTAGTTCCTGTCATAAAACTGTATAAATACTAAAACTGGAGGAACAAACACTCTAGACTCTAGTGAGTGAGAGAGAGAGAGATAATATCATCTTGTCTAAATCTCATGTCATAATTTTTATTGCTGATGATCTCAGTATGTTAATACAGGAATAAAATAAAATAGAAAATACAAGTAGAAGAAACCAGTTAATGTAATTAATGAACTGCATGAGAAAAAAATGTTATATTCACAATATATCACTTACATGTGTAATTCCCTGTAAACTGCATTTTGTAATTTTCTCTCCCAACCTACAAGAATGAAAGGATCAGTGACACCACAAGAATTACACACAAGAAGCACATTCATCACTTGAGCAATTCATCACTTGATAGATGTCGAGATCATATATTATATGTTCAGTCACATGATCATTAATAAAACAGGTAACACTTTATAAGTATACATTACTAAAGTACTTACAAATGATTTGAAAAATGTTAGTTTATAGTTCATTCATAGTTTACACTAGTTAAGACATTAATAGCCTCTAAACAAGTAGTGAGTTCTTCATTCACTGTCACTGTAATTAACACAAGTATTATTGTTTAATTCGCTCATATGTAAAGGGTTAGATAATGCATTGTTAAAAATGTATTAACCATAAATAGTTCTCACTTTAGATTAGGTCACGGGAAATGAGAAAATGTCATTAATTAAATGCTTAAAACCAACCTTTACTTATATATCTCCATAGTTTTACACTGTACAAACTGTATATTCTGTTACTTTACCCTAATTCTAACCCTAAACCTACCCATCACAGAAACCTAGAGAGGGGTATTTTAAACCTATAAATTAGGTTTATGGGGTAGAATATACAGTTTGTACAGTATAAAAACCATTACGCCTGTGAAGAGTCCCTGTAAACTACATATATGCAAGTGTGTGTTTGTGCGTGTGTGTGTCCTTAATGTGTTTGTAAACATTTTAAGGGACAGTGAATATGAATGAATGCAATTAATGTTCAATAAAGGTTGGTTTAAAGCAGTGGTGCCCAAACTCGGTCCTGGAGGGCCAGTGTCCTGAAGAGTTTAGCTCCAACCCCAATTAGACACACCTGAACCAGCTAATCAAGCTCTTACTAGTCATACTAGAAACTTCCAGGCAGGTGTGTTGAGGCAAGTTGGAGCTAAACTCTGCAGGACACCGGCCCTCCAGGACCGAGTTTGGGCACCCCTGGTTTAAAGCACTTAATTAATGGCATTTTCCATGACCTAATTTCATAACTATTCACTCCTTATTACCAATGAACAATTCCTTTACTATGTGGTAATTAAACCATATTGAGATAATTACAGTGCAAATGAATGAAGAACTCAGTACTTGAACTATGAACTATGAATAAACTACAAACTAATAGTTTGTTAATGATTTGTAAGTACTTTATTAGCATATACGTATTATACAATTTTACCAAAAAGATTATAATATGCAGATTTGCTGTTTAAGAAACATTTCTTAATATTATCATCAATTTGTGCTGCTTAATATTTTTGTAAAAAAAAATTAAAAAAAACTAACTCTTGAGGAATAGAAAGATCAAAAGAACTGTATTTATTTGAAAAAGAAATGGTCTGTAACAATGTAAATGTCTTTACTGTCACTTTTTTATCAATTTAATGATTCCTTGCTGACTAAAAGTATTTAAAAAAGAAAGAAAAAAAACACTCACTGACCCCAAATTTTTAAACGGAAGTTTAAAAAAACGTACACTAAATTTGGTTTTATTTTAAATAAAAGATACTTGCTTGAATTTTTTTTATAATCTTTTTTCCATCCGACAGCCATGTCATACCTGATGCCTTTAACAATCTTCTCACATCATCTTTCAGCGTTTCCAGTTTAATTTCAGGTTTGTGCAAACATTCCTAGGAAGAAGGAAACATTTCTGCAATGAAATACAACAGCAAGCGCGAGCTGGCAGTATACTGCAGTGACCGTATACCGTGTTGCACACTCTGCAGTCAGTTAGCTGAAGCTGCTCACTTTAGCCTGTTTCTCCAGCTGAGAGTGTAAATGAGTCCCTTTGAGCCGCTGAACAATCTGCGTTATAGAGACGCTCTCGTCCATCATTATCACTCTTTTAATGTGATGTCGACGGGATTTTCTGTTATCATCTGTTAGCGCTGCAGCATCACAGGATGAAGCACCGTATCCAGGCAAATGACAACAAACCCTTCAGGAAACACTGGCTTCAACACAAGGTTCCGACATGCCTTTATTAACTTTAATAATAAGAGTTCCTGTCGTAAAAATCTAAATAATGAATTCCACAAAATGAAGTGTTTTTATTTAGCTTGTGTTTTTACTATGTATTTGTTTTCTTTATTATAGATTTATTTACAAAAAAAATATTAAAACAATACATTTAAATAAATTTACCATATTTATACATCATGGAAGTATTTCGTTATTTTTTTATTTTTTTGTTTGATTAAATGTTTACTTTAAAACTTTCAAAATCAAAAATTCAAAATGGAAAACACAGGGGTTTCAACGAATAACAAGATCATTATGTGTTTTTGTTATCATAATTTTTTTATTCAGAAGAAAATATGTCATAGGCCTTTAGGTGTCACTCATTAAATATATGTTTAAAAAGAGACACATAAAAAAGTAATCCTTCTTAACAGGTTGAACCTGAACATGTATAGACATGAACAAGAAAGCAGTTTCTTCTCTCTGTTTCTCATCGCAGGAATGCTGATAATGTTTATCATGCACAAATATATCTGACAGCAGCTATCAGGAATTAAAGCTTTTGGCCAGTGCTAGAGATTTTTGAGTTACTACAACAAAACCTGCGTGTGGTCTTCTTCAAAAGACTTACCCTCTAATCTTCATGTTTTACAACAATGTTAGTATGGCTGATAGTAATCTTAATCAGCTAGTTGTATGTTATGTAGTTGTCAGGTCAGAATTAATAAGGTTTTTGCATCAACAAGCACAAATCGACAAATCTGCACAGGTCTGATGCATTGAATAGTTGTAGAATAGTTGTTGCAAACCCTTTTATACTATAAGCTATACGTGCACATACACATACTGTATAAACACAAGAACATTGTTTTGTACAAGTAAAGATGTTTAGAAGCATTTAAAGTGTGAGTTTATTTCACAGACCTTTTTCTCTCTCTCTTCTTCACTCTCCAAATCTATAAAACATCTTTCAGGCTGTTAAAATGTGTGAGTGCTTTGTTCGGTGGAGAGGTCAGTAAATGACCCTAAAAAGGCCCTTAAAATCTCTCTCAGGATAAACTGATGAAGTCAAGATAGTAAAGCTAAATCCAAGAGCATAATTTGTAAAATGGAAGCAAATGCATTTCAATATTATTTATAACGGTTATAAAGCCATAGTTGCTCAATTTTGTGTAAAAGAATCAACAGAATTAGTAGCACATTTCATGTATTAATTTTCAGCAGGCATTACAATGGTAATCAGTGTCACATCATGATTCAGAAATCATTCTAAAATGATGATTATTATAATAATCAGCATTTTAGAATGGTTTCTGAATAATCATGTGACACTGATTACCATAGTAATGGCTGCTGAAAATTCAGCTTTACCATCACAGGAATAAACTACATTTTAAAATATATTAATCAAACAAATGCAGCCTCTGTCAGCATATAGGAGAGTTTCAAAACATTACAAAATTATAATTATTCCAAACTTTTGACCCTGTAACGGGGCGAACGAGACGAGAGATGTGCGGATCCATATGCAAGCTTTTATTCAAATACATGGTCAGAAACAGGCAAGGTCGAAACACCAGCAAACAGGTATGGCACAGGCGAGACAAAAGAATAATCCAAGGACAGACTTGATCAGGCTCCGGCGAACAATATCCAATAGGGCAAGGCAAACGGGTAATCCAACAGACAAACAATAATCCATGCGAGGTGCAAACAGAGTCCAAACAACAAGACGAGAGAGAATTCCAAGACGGGCAGAAGATCAGTAAACAGGCAACAAGGCAACACGACGTGACTAGACTTAGACTGGCAACTAGAACTGGAAACTATGGGAACTGGCTCCGTAGAGTAGCTACCACTAGGTGAGCGATAAGCGCTAAACAATACTCGGCCATCTGTAATGGTTTGAGTGTGGTTTATGTAGTGTGTGTGATTGGTTTCAGGTGAGCTTGTGATTAGTGCAATGGAGCATGGGAAATGTAGTCCAGGGTGACGTGTAACAGTTTGTGTAGTGTGAGAGTCAATGTAATTGGAAAGGGTGACCTCTGGTGGCAATCGGGTGGAATGTCATGGGGTGTGTGTCAAATAAAACTGACATTTCAACTTGATGAACACAGTACACTACAATTTGTGTACAAAAAAAAATTTATTTACTTGTCTTATTGTCATGCTGTAGAAAGGGTCCAAAATGTTTCTTGGGTGTCAACATTTTTTATGAATATTGCATTTTTGAAAGGGGGGAAATCTGAGTTGCGTAACTAAGGGTAACAGTTACGAGTAGAATGAGGTACCAAGAAAAATATAACACAACATTATTATTATTATTGTTGTTGTTATTAATATTGATAGTAATATAATAAATACTACTACTACTACTACTACTACTAATAATAATAATAATAGAATATATTCAACATATTATTTTTATGTTGCACAACTGTTCACAAAAAAAATAAAATTTAAAAAATTTAAATGCTGTAATGCTTCAGGAAATGTGATGGGGGTGTACCATAGACTATAAAAACAGGGGTGTACCTTATTCATGGAAGGTGTCTAGTGAGAAAGTGAAGGCGGGGTCTGTGGTTCTGTGGACGACAGCACTGATCAACTGCATTAGCCTACTTCACATCACAACTCAGCAGGAACGCTTGATGATATACAGGGTTGGATGTACTTAACTATCCATTTTATTTTTTTTCTATTTTTCTTTTGACATCTCAAAACTTTTTACCATTTTGTCTTGAATATATAATAATTAAATAAGATAAAAGCATGTGTTTTAATATAGAGTGCATATCTCTGGCATCATGGCAGATCAAAAGTTGCTGTTCTTTCACCTGCAAGAGATGAAAAGAAATTCATTTGGATAGATATATTTCTACATAGCGAAGGACAGTGATCAGAAACAACAAGCAAACATGGAGACATTTACAATTCACGATATGCTCATTAATTCCACTGATATTTATAAAATATTATGTGGACTCGGAATCGGGAATTTGTCGGAGTGCAAAAATGACAATAACGGCACGTCCGAACCAAAAGGTAAAGAAAATCTTACATTTTTATTGCATATTACTTTATTACTTCATTTTATGCGCATATTAAGCAATGAACAATTGTTAAATTAACCTACTGTAAGCAAAAAAAGGTCATTTAGCATAATTGAATCCGCTTTTACCAACAAAACATTTTTTAATGAGCTATGTCAGTTAAAAAATGTTTCTTTAATGTAACAGTTACAGGTTACCACATTTTACAATGAGCTTTTGTCCTGAAATGTTGTGAACGAGTCTAGACAGGTCTTGTAAAGCTTTGCATATCTGAGTAAAAGTTCACTGTAGTTTGCTTGTTAAATCTGGTCAAATAACACGTGCTTTCTCTCGTACTTGTTTGTCAGATATGAACCAGACGGTGCGGATCGTGCTGTATGTGTTCATCTTCCTCCTGAGCTTCATAGGAAACAGCCTGATCATCACGGTTCTGGTGCGGAACCGGCGCATGCGGACGGTCACGAACCTGTTCCTGCTGTCTCTGGCCGTCAGTGATCTGATGCTGTGTGTCTTCTGCATGCCCTTCACACTCATCCCAAACCTCATGAAGAACTTTATCTTCGGCACCGGCATGTGTAAAGTGGCCACGTACTTCATGGGTGAGTCAGTTTCATATCTGTAGTTCACACTTCACTTCTAGAATAGCTCAGTGTTTGGAATTGACTAGAGTTGGTTCTCACTTTGTGTCCATACTCCATGCCATACAAAAATCACCATAACCCGAATTTCGATACCTGTTACTATAATTATTCAAACTGTAAATTAATATGAAATCTTCACTTTTCAGTATATTTTTGTTTGGTATTGTGATTAGTGTCTAATACCAAGTGACTTAAGTTTTAAAGTAACAACTGTAGTACGTGTAGTAGGCACGTGCTGAACAAACGCCTGTAACTGTAAATTTACCACCTGTAAACGTTTTTTTAATCGAACTAAATCGAACTAAAAATGAGACATGATTTGATTTTCTTACCTTAAAACTAGCCTAATACTTTTACACAGAGGAAGGTTGTGGTAAAATACTGTAGTAAACTATTCTTAACTTTTCACTTTTTTAAAAAACGTTTTATTATATATATATATATATATATATATATAATAAAACGTTTTTTAAAAAAAGTAAAAGTTAAGAATAGTTTACTACAGTATTTTACCACACGTTTTTTAAAAAAAGTATATATATATATATATATATAAATTACCAGAAAATTTGAGTATCATGATACATTATAGTATAGGAATGTTTGCATAATATTCACTGGTCTTACAAGCTTCTTTATGCCCTGAAAAGGGCATCTGATCACATTGATTGCGAGAGGCAGACTATAAAAGGTCTCCTAACCAAAGGATACTTCATGTTCCAGCTGCTTTTTTTCTTGCATTTGGTTATAAAAAAAGGTTGATTTAGAGATTCATTACTATTCATTAAGGGGCTAAAAGCATAGACCACGAACACAGTGAAGCTTGCACTGGGTACTAAAATGCATTTTATATTGTTTTATAAACCTCAATCATATTGGCAAGACCACAGCTTTTTTTCTTGTTCTTTTCAGATTATATTGCAAGTCACATCCACTGTGAATTCATATTTATGACTTGTTGAATTTTGTGTAAAACTATTTATAGCACACTTCCAGATGCTGCAAATGTGCCATGTAAACAATTTAGTAATGAGACAACGCCCGATATCTCTGTATTTGATGCATCAGCATGTTTTATGTGTTTGTTTTGTGCTATTCTGTAATACTTGCTCATGATAAAGCTGACTTAATTTACATACTCTGTTGTTATTACCGTGTGGGTATGTCAACATTCATAAGCAATCAAGCGCTGTTGATTATTCAGAGGAGAGCTGGAGCATGCGCTCATACTTGGTGTAAAGTGTGCAGTGTTCTGCCGTTA